GTAAACTCCGCTCGCTCAACCCTACTCCCTCCCCTCGCTGGCGCCACCCTGTAACTCCCCAGCCGTTAGTCCTTGGAAATTACTGACCAAGATTAGAAGTTCCCGACATTAGCTAATCTGGTACATGTTTGTGCAAGGTCAAAGCCCATGAAACTTTCCCCCCACCCTGTGACCCCTAGCCACCTGCGTGTGGTTTCTGTCTATAAAAATCCTAAGGAAAAAAGGGCTGGCGCGACAGCTTCACTGTACGCCCTTGCGCCACGCTGGAAAATGAATCCTCATGCTATTGCATCAAGTCTCTGGACTCTGAGTCTTTTTTGAGCAGTCGTCTCTCCCCCACACGGGCTGTACATTTCTGCGGCCCAACAGTTCCTCCGGATGCCGGGAGCCTCCGCTACTCAAGTCCCACCCCCGCTCGCCTTCCTCTGCAGGGTTCGCCCCCGGCCAAAGAGCCCCTTCGCACAGCCCCGGCCAGCGCTCTGGCTTTCCTCTGGCTCCACCTGAGCGTGCCACCTGCGGGCAGGCGCCCAGCCGCCCTGCCTCAAGGCGAGGCCACCCTGGAGCACCACCCTCCCCCGCTCTGGTGCACCTGGCGGGGCAGCCTGAGGCCCCCGTGACTGTGTCACGGCCCAGCTCCTCCCCGCCCCGCTCTGCCTTCTTCGCGCCCGGGCGTTGCTTCTGAGAGCTCTTCTCCTTAAAGCCTCTGCACACAAATCTCAGAGCCTGCGTTTCAGGACTCCTGAGCTGCAACTGCCCGTGAGGCGAAGAGACACAGAGCGGAGAGTGGCTGGGTGGCAGTCTCCCGGCCGGCGCCCTCTGGTTAATGGCAGGGCCCGGGTGGGCGTGTGGCAGCACCTGGCTCCTCGGCTTCCCAGTGACAGCGGCAGCAGCTCCAGACCGCGTCCAAGCAGCGCCGTCCCGTCTAATCACCTACGAAGTTCTGACAAGAACTTCACGTAGACCTCTGTGTACCTACTGTTGTTTTAACCTGCATCACCCAGCTGGCAAACCGGTCTCCTAAGTTTACTCTCTTAGAAAGTTTTATTAAGGACCTTTCCTTAACTAAAACCACTGTCAAATTTTAAGAGGTGCCTTCTGCTTGCAGTGGAGTACAAACAGTGCCCGTACCTCCCTACCTTATAGGCCACACGGAGATATTTGTTCCCCCAAATGCACCTGTTTGCTCACACGCCAGTCTCTCGGATACCTTCAGCCTTCCAGCAGGACACTGGGCTGCGGGTGTCAGGCTGGGAGGGGCAGGGTGAGACCTCCCCTACGGGGCTGGGCGTAAGAGAAGTGAGATTCATTTCCAAGGGTTCAGCTGTTAAGATCTACACACGACGTTTAGAAATCTAGAGGAGTAAGAGTCTGTAGATACGTGACCAAAGGGTTTGGATTTGTCCCCTGATTCTACGCAAGGTGACCGGGGGATCAGGCAGGACAGGGATGCGTCTACTATTTAGCGAGCAAAAGCCCAACCAAGGCCTCGTGCTGTGTGGGCACACAGGGGTGGTCTGGGTCAAACGTGCGGTGTGGCAGGACGGAAGCGGGCAGTGTTTTTGCAGCGCCGTTCCAAGCTGACACGACGTCAAATCTGCAAGAGAACCTTAATTTAATTGCCGGAGGGTGTTCTGTACCGCAGGGCAGGGATGATTCATTGCACCACGCCGTGGCCTAGATAAACATCTCCAGACTCTCCACCGCTTGCTCTGATTCCGTGCCTCCCAGTCATTGCTCCGACCTCCCCAGGAAGTGGCTGCCCCCCAGCAGGAGGGGGGAGAATTCCTTTCCGTGACCCGTGCGTCTCCCGCTGTGCACC